CTAAGTTGGAGGTTTTGATAGTTATTTGGCTGGTGGCTCTTCTTCCTTGCGTCTAGGAACTGTGGAGCCCTTGTACAGAGGGCAGGCTATGAGCAGAACAAATTTCAATGACTCAGACTTTAATCATGCTTCTGGTTGCTCCAGATCTGTGAGTTCTGTCCCAAACCATAAGTTGGGTACATGAAGAACATGGTCACTGAATTCCCATTCAAGGAGTGTTTTTTCTTTTTGCTGCAGGCACTATTGATAGAGATAGAACACTATGGACCTGCAGGAGCCCCTCTTCACCCAACACACACCCAGAGAGAAGTCTGGGTGATTGTGGAAGTGGGGGAGGATCTATGCATTTATTTTTCTGTAACATTGTGTGATAACCTTTGTAAAGTCCCATTCATCTGTATATTAATTTCTCCACTGCTAGCATCAGCCTAACACTACTTTATCATCAATCTCTTGGGGATTTTGTGCTGATGAAAAGAGATCTCTTCAAAGAGGGCTTGGAAAAGGCCACATAACATGTAGATTTAAAACATAGACTTAACCAGATTCAAATCCTACCTCCCACTTAATTTGGGACATGTCACTAATCCTCTCAGTGCCTCGATTTCATCACTTGTAAAATGGGGATAATAACAGCACTTTTCTCATAGGGATGTTGTGAGGTTTCCATGAGTAATTAATTACATGTTAAGCACTTAGAGCCAATGTCTAGCATATAGGTAGTGCTATCTAAGGTTTGTTAAATAAACCAATGAAACACTCAGTGAAGTATCCAGAATCACCCAGTTTAACACCAAATTCACTATGTGTCAAATATTTAACATGTATTATGTTATACTCTCTAGAAATGTGATTACTAGAGACTGGGAAGGGTAGGGTGAAAGGGGATAGGGGGAGGTTGGTTAATGGGTCCAGAATTACAGCTAGAGGGGAAGAATAAGCTCTAATATTCGATAGTAGTGCTAGGTATTTATAATTAAGAACAAACTATTGTATATTTGCAAATGGCTAGAAGAGAAGAGTTCAAATGTTCTCATCCCAAAGAAATGATGAATGTTTGCAATGATGTAGAAGCTAATTAGCCTGATTTGATCATCACACCGTGTATATATGTATCAAAGTATTGCTATGTATCCTATAAATATATAAAATTATTACATGTCAATTAAAAAATAAGTTTGAAAAAATAAAAGCAATGAGGGGAAGAATCACCATAATAACATAAGAGCTTGATTAAAGCCTTAAAATGTACCACAAAAAAACCTAATACTCTCAATGACCCTGTAAGTTTAGTACTACTATATTTGTATTTTGCAGATGCAGAAACTGAACCACAGAGGAGTTAAGCAACTTGTCCAAGGCCACACAGCCTGTAAGTGACAGATACAGGATTTGAAAGGAAGTGAGTTCCAAGCCAGGTATGTCAGATGGTGAAGCCCCCAGTTTCTCCTGGACCTGGGAGCCATGATACACCTTGGGCCCATTCCCATCACCAACAGCACTCTCTCCAGTTGCCCTTACAATACCAGCAAAGGAGCATAATAGGAAGGGGAACTCCATGGGCTGAGCAGACTTTAAGTTACTCTGGGTAAGTCCTGACTAGGGTTTGGAGTATTCCCATAGTTGCTTGGTTAGAATGAGAAGGAGGGAGCAAGAGAGAAGCAAAGCCTATAGATTGCCCTAACATTTTCTCTCTAGCTCTGTTTCCTTGCCTCATCCCACTTTACAGTATATTCTTGGCCTCTTCATGAGGCCCCTCATCACTTCATCCCATTTATTTCTGTCTGTATAAAAAAATGGTTTCTTTCCAAAATATCATTTTTGCTTCTGTACAAATAAAAGAGCAACCCATGTTTAGTTCATCTTGTAAATCTATGAAAATGACAATGAAATTTTTAAATCACTGTTAACCTTGTCACCTTGTGTTAATATTTATGTGCATATTCCATTAGTTTCTTTATGCACATATATTTTTTAAACAGTAGATAATCCTGTGGCTATTTTTAAGTTTAAAGTATATGATAAATAATTTTCTGTAGTTCTAAATATTTTCTAAAATGTCATAGATTGGCAGATCACTCTGTCAATTTATCACTAGTCATTGGATATCTTGGTGGTTCCAATTTTTTCCTATTGTGAAGAATTTTTTCACCATTATTACTTACATTATTGCAACTAAATCCTTGAGTATTTATTTCTTAGGAAAGCCAATAAAAGTAGAAATGGAAATATACATGATTTAGTCTGGGCATAAATATTGCCAATTCTCCCTTCATAGTGTTTGGGTTATATTTGCACCAACAAAGTATGAGTCAGCCATTTTCCCTCCTCCTAATCCTCACCTTAGGTGGTCCAGACAGTGAGTTAGAGGAGCCAGTGGACTGTTGACTGAAAGTTCATGGTTGCGTAGTGGCCCAGTCATGGGCTTTAGGCTCATTCCTGCTCCATCACTTGCTAACTGTGTGACTCTGGGTAAGTCATTTCACCTTTCTGCAACCCCATTTAATCACATGTAAGAATGGAAATAAAAGAGTTTATCCCATGGGATACTGTAAGAAGTAAGTGAGCTAAAGGATGGGTGTGTTTTCTGTTTTTGTTAGTATGACCTCAACTGTATTTATTATTAATAGTTAATAGTAACAATATACAAAGTGAGCAACAAAAAACAATGCAATTAACCTTTTTTTAAATTTTACTAAACTTTTGAGCAATTTTGTATCCATTCAACATGATTTTGCAAGTATTTTTAATCCAGTTTCTCCAGCAATCCCACTACTGGGTACGTACTCAAAGGAATGAAAATCAACAAGTCAAAGAGATACCTGCACTCCCATGTATATTATGGCTGTTTCACAATAGCCAAGATTGGAGCCAACCTAAATGTCCATCAATGGATGACTGGATAAAGCAAATGTGGTGTATATATACAACGGAATACTACTCAAACATATACAAGAATGAAATTCTGCCATTTGCAGGAACATGGATAAGCTTGGAGAAAATATATTAAGTGAAATAAGCCAGGCACAAAAAGAGAAATACCACATACTCTCACTCATATGTGGAAGCTAAAAAGTGTCGATCTCATAGAAGTAGAGGAGTAGAATAGTGGTTACTAGAGACTAGTAAGGGAAGGGGGAAGGTATGCATGGGGTGAGGGTGGTCAGTGGTTACAAAATTGTACCCCATAAATATATATAATTATTTGTCCATTAAAAATAAAATTTAAAAAAGAAACCGACTGCTGCAGAACACTAGATCTTATTCTTCCTATCTCTCTACAATAATCTTATAGGTAAAATATGAATTGAAATCTACAGACTTTGTACAGAAATTAAACTTCCTGAGTCCCTGATAAGTTGGATAGGTTAACAACTTAATTTTGATCACATACACAAAGTCTACACTTTTCTCCCAATCTGTGGACATGAGAGGTTATTCTCCATGTGGCCCATGGTGGGTAACTACCTCTGTTGGTACTTTCTACTACCAGTATTTAGGACATGACCTGTAAAGACATTTGGTAAGTGCAGATATCTGAGGAAGCAACAAATAATATCCTTAAAGACCATGCCCTTTCCACCCACCTACATCCAGTGATGTCTGTGTTGATTGTTCATAATCTCTTTCCTAAGGCCTGCTCATCCAAGGGCAGATCTGGGCGGAGGTGGAGATAAACCTGAAATATCAAGGGCTCACTGATGCTTCTGAGGTGAATCAGGACTCTGTTCCGATGCAGGAAGTATCTTCTCCTGATGTGTCTTTTTTTGAATGGCCCAGCAAGAAGCACTAGACTGGAGCCTAACACTGCACACCTGTCTCCAGGCATGGCGTGCCTATCTGAATCTTCTTCACACTTGGCTTCATATTCCAATTGGCCACAGGTGGCCCAACCCTAATTCTAAACACAGGATCATTTCAGAGGAGTTGTAATTGCACAGAGTAGGAGAAAGTCTGTACCCCAGTGATTAATTTCCACCAACTCACAATAGGACTATGAGCAAGATCCACAGCAACCTGTGGCAACTAATTTTAGCAATATCAGCATGAACCAGCTGTTGCCCCACCCTGTGGCATTCCTCTGGATCAAAAGAAAAAAGAATGAGCCCGTGAGGAAGAGGGTTTGGGAGAGGTAAGAACCTTCCAGTTAATGGAAGACACTGGAGTCTCAGATCCCAATACCCAATTCAGGCTCCATCATAGGAGCAACCATATTGGTGGGTGATGGGTAGGAGTAGGTTTGGGTTGGTGTAGGCACTTACCAGCATGCCTGTAGTCTCAGGCAATGCAGAATAGTGAGCAGAAAGTGAGTCCAGAAGAAACACTGTCCTCTAGCCACATCATAGCTTCTCACTGTCTTGTGACCTTGGGCATGTCACTTGACTTCCCTAGGATTCACTATCCTCATTGTATAGAGACAGTAATAAGAACTTCACAAGGAGACTGGGGAGGATGGGGTAGGGGTGGACTAAGGCGAAGGAGAGGAAAGCAGTCCTTGGAGACCTCCCACTCATGCCTGGGTTCTAACATCCACCTATCTCATGCTTAACAGTGTCCTTCTAACTCCAGAGTGAGGAACATTCTCCCTAGTTGGGAGATGCCACACATGAGCAGTTTCTGCCCCTGAGAGTGCTGGTTCAGTGAGCAGAGTAACAGGAGCGGCACCTCCTGGGGCTGGCAGGGGTGTGTGGGCCAAAGAGAGAGAGAGAGTAGAGAAGCACCAGCGAAGGGAGTTTGGGTCCCAGGGCCCAAGAAGGATGGGCCATGTGTGGAGGCTGCACTGAGTTCTCATTGATCACAAGTAGTGGGAATAAAAGAGGCAAAATCCCTTGGCAATTGTTCTGGTTTATTTGACAGGGACAAGGTGTACAGACAGTAGGCAGGGCAGCATTCCTGTTGACATCCTTGTGCCTGTGATTTGAGGTCCTAGTGCTTCAGATGTGGGCACAGTCTCTGAATAGAGAGTTGGGGGAGCAGGACAGCCTAGTCCACACTTCCACTCACAGCAGGCTCATGCAAACATTCCCACAGAAGGTTGAACAGCATATGTCATTTGCCTGACACTTTTGGAAATATGAACAATGGTACTTGCATAGTTCTATGCTAGGCTGGTTCTCACAGGCCTTCATTCCTGAAAAGGGGTGGGAAGAGGATTAACAGAACCATGGGCATAAAGAACACCTTTGTCAAACTTAAAGCTCCTCCAGGACCTCAGAACCAAGGCCCCATTCGCAACACTCCTGGACTTTCTAGGGAACTACCTTCCTGCCGCTCACCAAATCCTGGTGATTGTAGTACCTTAAATCCTATCTTCCCACCCTATCTCTAACCTAATAGATGCCTAGGCTTTTCCATACACCTGCATCCAGGACCTTGTCTCTCCTATTAGTCATAGCCTTGGTTAAGTCACCCTCATAAAATCTCCACTCTGACCCTGAGAACGCAAGGAAGCCTGAGACATCTCCAAAACCCTCCATCACTTTCCAGAATTTGGAGGATCCAGAGAGGAAGATGAACTTGCCTCTTGCCCCTCTTTCTCCTCTCCCCACTGCTGCCATCTCCAGTATCCCTGCCCTTTCATTAGTTCTCCTTCTCCTGCCACCCTCCTGGTCCCTGTGATAACTTTAACTTGTCCTGAACACCCCAAATTTTGCCTGCCCAGTGTCCTTTCTTTCTACACCTATACCTACCCCCATAACCCTCTCTGGATGTTTACCCCTCACAATTGCACATAAATTAAAGAATAATTTTCTTGTTTTCCCATCTGATTCTCAGCTCTGATGCACGTTTCCCCACAGTATGTACCATTTGTCTCTGGATTTTTTGGACAGAGAAAAAAAGATGTAGGTTTTCCCTTCACCCCCATCACTATTCCTCGGGCTGGGTAAAGGGGGTTTCCCACGGTTTGGGACAGCCCAGAGTCTGCAGAGCACTGTGGTCAGAGCCAGATGTACAGAAAGTTACCAACCCCCAGGTCCTGCTCATGGGTACAACCCCTCCTTGCTCTCTCCCTAGATCTCCCCCAGCCCACCACGTACTCTGCATACTCTTCCATGCACGGTATCCACCTTGGGCCTGCAGCAGCAGCACACAGAGGAGCAGAGCGGACAGCAGACCCTTGGACATCATGACTGACCAGAGCAGTGAGTCCTAAGTCTGGCCAGGATGTCACAGGCTTCCCTGCAGAGTTCAGCATGGAGAGCGAAGGAAAGAAAGGATTATCCGCAGCTCCTCATTGCCTCCACTGGCCAATCCAAGGTAGACAGTCCTTGTTCCTCCCCTTGTCCTGCCCCTTACCCTGTCCTATTCTATGTGAAATTGAGCTTCTGCAGGGATGACACCTCCTCTCCCATAATTAATTAACCCTCTCCTTCTTGCTAACAGAATTTTTCTTTTCTGAAAGGTACATTTTATTTATGCTTTCTAATTATAAAATACTTTACAGAAAAAAGAAAAATACATACTTTTTTAAAAGATGATAATCTCACTGCTTATAATTAACCTATTTTCCATTGCATTATCTTTTAGTTTGTCCATACATTTAATATAAACAGTCCTTTATTTTCTCACTTTTTTTTTTTTTTTTTGTCTTTTGTCTTTTTCCGTGTCCGGCAACGGATCGCAACCCTCAGTGTTGCCCCCGTACCAGACCGGGGATTTTCTCACATTTTTGAGTCACTCATCTTTTGTTCCCGGTCTTCTGCCACCCTTATTTAACCATGTAAGTATTTGTAATGTCATTATTTCTCAAAATGAACCACATTATTTTTTATAATTACATACATCTCACTGTGTCCCTCAACTGTCAACTGTTTGGAATATATCAATTGTTGATATTCAGAACAATATCATTTTGAACATTTTTATTCATGTTTCCTAGGCCACAATAGAAGAAGTTGAATTAGCAGGTCAAAGAATAAGTACATGTTTTGTATGTACTATATATTATACACCAGCATATATATACACACACATATATGGAGAGATAGAGAAAGAGAGAAGACGGGGCCGGCCCGGTGGCGCACTATCCCCGCTTGGGAAGCGCGGCAGCTCTCCCGCCCGAGGGTTCGGATCCCACATACAGACCGGTTCCCGCTCACTGGCTGAGCGAGGCGCGGGAGCAACGCTG